GCCATTATATTTCATTCCTATATTCCGCATGATGAAAAGCGAGCCTTGAGTGCCACCAGCTGGGCCTGTGACCAAACAGCAAATCTAGCTTCATTATTACAGAAAAAGCACTCTCGCCCTCCTCCCGTTACGTTAAATATATGTATTTTTCCGATTGGCATCTGCACATCTTTGAGGGACGATGGGAATGCAGGGGCATATGGACGCCACGACACTTTCTGAAGTGGTCGAAGAGGCCGATCCTGACATGACATGATCTTGCCTGCCTTTTATTTTCCCTGGCGTGGTTTTCTGTATTTTTGCAGAATTTGTCATCTGCACCTTTGCTGACAAAGAGATGTCTGAAACGCGTCTGGTTAAAATAAAGGCTGCTTTGTACATTTTTCCCCCTCTACCGGGTCAGCGCCACAACATACTGTCAATCCTGTCCTCAGCCCCCTTTTAAATGTCTTCCCCATTTGCAAAAGCCCGAGCAACCTTTTCATTATTCATCATTGCTGTCTATATTTGCACAAGCCTGAGGAACCTTTTCATTATTCATCATTGCTGTCTTTGATACAGTATATGGAGACATCTCCCCTGTCATGAAGCATGAATCCTGTCATTTATCAGAGACGAGGAAATACCTTGTGTCAGATGTTTCAGAATATCATCCCCATTTCCTGCAGTTGTCTAATTCCCAAGGTACCAAACAAAAATGCCAGTTTCCTCACACTGAAAGAGGCCCCATGGCCAAAACGTTGTGTTTCTCTTTTTTTTTTTACATTTCTGCATGGAATGAACCTTTACGTCTTAGTTTACAGCCAGCACATGCTGACACAGCTCCCTACTCAAAGGTCAGCTAACGACTGTGACAGACTGTGTATGTGGAGATTATGGGCCAGTTGTTCATTAGAAGTGGTCTGAAAAGATTAGCGAATCATTTAGTAGTCTAATATCATCATAGCGTTTCTGTTTTCGAACTGAAGCCGTGACCCATTCCCACAACTGATAAAATGTGCAACACGATACGCATGATTTCAGGCAATGGTGTTTTCTATTATCTCAGCTACTCTTATGCTGTTCAGATGTTGTACGGTAGGTAGATATCTGCAGGTTATTTCCAGATTAGGATATCTGCACCACAAATCTCTGCAGTCATTAAAGTACTATACAGGAAAGCTGCCCCAATGGGTTCTAAGGTTTTAATCGGAATCTTAGAATAGAAATACAGCTCATAATTTTCTCCAGCCCTTTAAAACACCATTTTTACACAGATACTACCATTGAATCTGCAACATAACTTTCAGCTAAATTCGCTTAATCCTCTTACTGGCGTTTTTACACTTGCAATCTGAATCACGATAGTGAAGTGAAGGTCATGTGATGGTAGCTAACTGAAAAATCTGATGCTAAACTTAATAAAACGAAATCATCTGAAACTAGGTCGCTACCGCTAAAGATTCATTCGCCTACAAAAACCCTAAAATATTCATATACATTCTTAAACTTAAAAAGATTATCTGACTTTCTCTACATATCATATAGCAAAACGAAACACAGAAAAATACACAGCCCCAATCAATAACTAACGTATGTGTGCATTTTGCATACGCCTTGTTACAGACGCTCACGGTTGCAACACGACAGCATTTAAGTGTTACACCGGAAGTACCGCATGTTTGTAGTAGTTACAAACATTGAAGAATGTGGACTGTATATACCTTTTAATACCTCATGGATGATGAACATACTGTAAGTTATTTACTGATTTAAAATGATGTTACGGTACTGACTTTGCTTTTGCGAGGTATAGTCAAGGGCGATTGTACTGCCAAACTGTCTTTGACGTTGTATTATAGCAAGTAAACGTTTTCCACTTAAGCTGATGAAAAAACACTTCAATTGCGTTTGGTCGTATTTTAAATAACGCTTAAAAACTCTCCCAATGCGAAAACGGAGAGAAGAAAAATCTGGTCTATGAGACAGGTCAGACAAACCATGGGTTGATAGCTATTTTCCAATCAAAACCTTCAACCCTTACCGGGGAACCGATTAACGATATGCTAAAATAAAAATAACATTATTTTATATATTGTAGAAAAGAAAAAAAAACGCTTTAAAGAACACTATACAGTTCATTTAACATACATACATGTCTCAAAAAAACAAATCGTAATCTGTTTTTTGGGCAAAATGTACCCATGCTACTGGGGATCACTGGTGATTCCAGGAGTGACATTAAGAAGAGTTTGGTGGAAGCGACACAGAATAAGTGTGCCTGCGTCGCCTTCCTCCGTGTTTCTGTACTGTATGTCTTGTGCGGTGCTGCCTCTTGCAGAAGGACTACCGGGAGCCGTGCCTGGTGTGCTCCGAGGTGGACTGGGGGCTGACGGATGAGGGCAAGTTCTACTGTAGGTCCTGCCAGAACGTCATCGAGGTGAGGCAGACCTGTTAGATTATTAGGAACAAGTAAAGGCTTATTCCCTGCTGAAAAGAGAAGAAAGGAAACAACGTTTCACGCTGGGGAGCCTTCTTCGGGGCGTTGTCTATTTTTTTCTCTTTTCAACATGGAATAAACCTTTACTTGTTACTTTTTGTAAGTTGTATGTTATTTAATGTGTTGTTGCTGCTGCTGCCCTGTGTTTTTTTATGTTTCCTTTCACAGACCCACAGTAAAAAACCTAGACTAGAATCCATATACTATATAGCCCCTTTGTGTCTGACTGTCTATCTCCCAAATGCTTAAATTCTCACAACTGTTCTTGTTGTAACAGAGAACCAAAGAATTGGACCCTGAGGACGTCTTTTGTGGTTCCAGCTCAAGAATCTCCTCTATTTCTCAAAGTCTACGGCAGAAGAAAAAACTAGGTTAGTTAGTCTTTGCTCTTAGGAGAGGTTTGGATGTCAGTTTTGAAGACGTGCTGCGGTTCCAAAGCTCTTTCTCTGGATACTCAATATTTTATTCATTTTGCATCCGGAATTTGAAGTTGTTCTCATATGTGGGTTTTCACCTGAGAGCCGTGACCTGTGTTTATGGGAAGTGATGGATGCTGACTTCACGTACTAGAGTGTTGTCTGCAGCAACTGGGAACCTGCAAAGCTTCATCATGTATCAGTACCGGTTGTGACGGCAGATCTCTCCTTTTTGCTCTGTTAAAATACTATGGGCTGGGTATAGAAAATGACAGTTCAAAATCTAAAAATGGAAAAACAAGCCAGAAAGGAATTTGGCCAGGATGCTGGGGTAAAGCCCCTACTCTTTTCGAGAAACATCCTGGAATTTTTAATGACCAGAGTCAGGACCACGGTTTTACATCTCATCCAAAGGGTGGTACCTGTTCTACCGTATAGTGTCCCCATTACTATACTGGGGCATTAGGACCCACGCAGACCTCAGGGTGAGCGCCCCCTACTGGCCCCACTAACAGCAGCAACCTAAGTTTTCCCAGGAGTCTCCCATCCAGGTACCAACCAGGCTCACACCCGCTGAGCTTCAGTAAATTTTCAGTTGTGGGCTGCTGGGCTGCTGCTGCTGTTGCCCTTGAGAGAGAGAGAGAGACTTCACTCAGATTTCTGCTGTGAATCTCCTGCTGTATACACAGGTCTCCAGGCTGTCTCCATTGCAATTGAGAATTTCTTTTCAATCGAGGAGGTAAAATAACCAAATACGTCAAAGGATTTCCATATCTGTGAAAACAAAAGGCTTCTGATTTGCTGAGCTTAATTATTGTGAAATATTGCTAGGTTCGCATGTCATGTTGCAGCTCTTCTGAAGTCATTCTGAGTGGGCAGCTCTGGATGTGGGACTGACCTGAACTGCTTGGCTCTCTACACTTCTCTAATACACTACATCCCCCTTCTTCACTGCTCAATATTTGCAATATTTGTCTCCCCCCCTCCCCCGGGCGGTTATTTCAGAGCGAGGCCGGGAATGGATGGTGTGTGAGGCCTTCCAGTTTATCCTGCAGAAGCAAGCCAGCGCTCTCCTGGAGATGGGCGTGGACCCACAGTTCAAGGTACCGGGCTCCACGTCACGGACTGGGGGAGGCTCTGGGCGCGGAGAGCCGCTGGACCTGGGGCGCGAGCAGAGCAGGAAGCCGATGTTCCTCTTTCGTCTGCTCCTACTACAGAGCAGCACCAAAACAGAATCGGAAAGTCTACAGATTCCCGCAAGATAAAGCGCACAGCATTAACAAAGCCAGCATCCTCCCGGCTCATGTCCTTTTTCTGGAATTGGTTTGTTTATTCGTATTGCTTCTGGAGAGGCAGTGGTCCAAAACTTAAGTTATACCACCTTTTTTTTCAGTAGTGAGCAACAGCTTATGGAAGGGATGTGCTTCCTGATGTTTAGGACCAGACGGGCAGGTCTGCTCTGCATGGTCCACCGATTTAAGGATATCAGTTGTTTCCAGTTTGTCATTATTTCCAAGGCCAAGAACGTGACTTGGCATGAATTAGAATACAGAGTCACACGTGCCACGTTTATAACTGCCTTGTGGAGTTTGTGTTTGGTCTCTTTTTTTGAGTAACAAAAAGCGACAAAAAGTATTTCAGGGGTTACAAAATTGATGTCTCGTCTTTCGCTGTGAGGGGCCAAACCCCACTATTAATATTTATTTTTTTTAAATGTTAATGGTCGCTTGATAAAGTCTGTAAGAAAAGGTGTTTAAGATTTGTAAAGGGTCTGAACACGCTTCCGATTTATTAAATAAAAAGCACTTGTTAGATATTTCAGTATTCCTCCAGCTCTGTGGTGTTGTTTTCAAGTATACTTGTAAATACATCACACACTTACAGTAGCTCAGAGGATTAATTTTGTATCTTCCCTCCATTAACAAAAGCCCCTTTTTTGTGGGTAGCATCTGTGATCATGATCTTGAAGCATTTTAGACACGAGTTTTCTCCGATTTCGCTTGCAGTGCAGCAGTCTACCGTGACTTAAGTGGAAGATTTTCTAGCAAGTTTGATTTCCAGGGCTAAGCGGCAGCCCGCACGTGGGTTCGAGGCGTGTACAGAGTAAGAGGCCGTTTCTGTTTCTGAAGGACGGGGTACTGCTGACGTTCTGGAGGCGATACCTGCAGAAGAGCCAGCAGGCCTACAGCAAGCGCAAGGAGCGGGCGAGACTGGTGAGTTTGTGTCGGAAAAGGGGTTCTCTGAAGTGTGCACCCCTCGACACCCCCGGAGTGACATCCATGTTTACATAGGCTGGGTCATGTCATTTGATCTCCACCCCCACACACAGTTTTTAGCATTATCAGAGGGGCTTCCTATGTGGAGCCACAGGCTGCTTGCTTCGACTGGGGCACAGATGTACTTGGACAGCACACTGGAAGTGGTCAGACCTCTGGCAGATGCTCAATGCCATTCTGCAGACTGAATGGGGCGAAAAAGGATACCGTGAACAGTATGTGGAAACGCATTTGGACCAATGGCAGTCATTCCCACTGAAGCTCAGCAGGTGTGAGCCTGTTCAGTACCTGGATGGGAGACCTTCTGGGAAAAACTAAGGCTGCTGCTGGAAGAGGTGTTAGTGGGGCCAGCAGGGGGCGCTCACCCTGCAGTCCATGTGGGTCCTAATGCCCCAGTATAGTGACGGGGACACTATACTGTAAACAGGCGCCGTCCTTCGGATGAGACGTAAAACCGAGGTCCTGGCTCTCTGTGGTCATTAAAAATCCCAGGGTGTTTCTCGAAAAGAGTAGGGGTGTAACCCCGGCGTCCTGGCCAAATTTCCCATTGGCCCTTACCAATCATGGCCTCCTAATAATCCCCCTCTATGAATTGGCTACATCCCCCTGCTCTCCTCCCCACTGAGAGCTGATGTGTGGTGAGCGTTCTGGCGCACTATGGCTGCCGTCGCATCATCCAGGAGGTAAAAGCGCTTTGAGTGGAATGTCCAGAAAAGCGCTATATAAGTGTAAGCAATTATTATTATTATTATTATTATTATTATTTTATGATTATTATTCTGTGACTCCATTGAAACGCATACAAGTAGGGTAAAAAAAGTATTTGTTCACATATGAATTTGTGCCGCTAGCAAGCATATGCTGGTTGGAATCGCCCTGAATATGAGATGAATGTTTCTGCTCTGGTTATTCTTTAGCATTGATGTTTTATAAATGCATTTTTGGCAAACAATTAATCTTTAGGATGTATATATTCTTAACACTACTTTCGTCTCATAGTTAGCACATAAATGTATCTATGCTTTTTAGTCAGTCACCTCTGCGAATTCAGCATCAGCGAATTGTAATATGGTGACATGCTAAACAAGTCACTTTTAGAAACTACTTACAGCAGACTAGCTAGTTTTTGCTAGCCTCTACATTCCATCTTTTTGTTTGTTTTTAAAGTTACCAGAATTCAACTGGAGGGGATTTATGGTGGTCCTGTCAGTGTAGCCCCAGTTTGATCTGTCCCAATCCAAGGACTAGTGTCCTTTTCTAAAGTGATGCAACACCAATGGACAGATTATCAGAAGGTCCTAATATTGTTTCCTTGCTCTGCCCTCTAGTGATTACTTTGTGTTTGAACATCGTTTCATCCAGCACTGTGTTTTCCATGGTAATCAACCTTTTCCCAGAGGATCAACTCTGAAAGGCATGAATTACAGTGTCAGTATACATATGTGTAATTATATTATCAAAATATTTCCATATTATTGGATTATCTAACTGTTGTGTTTATTTGTACATGAAGTTAAATAATATATCATATTGGCATTTGACTTATTATTTTTAAGTCGTACTTCTGTTTTTATAACAATTTTGAATTTAGATTTTTTAGCATTTTAACAGATTAAATTATCCCTATTATATTCTCAACAGCGTTGGTGTGAATTCTGGATGACCGGTGTAATTTCTTAAACAGCAGGTCAGGATAGCCACTAGATGGCACTTTTTCAGCAGTTTGCAAGTTGGACCAGTTGTATAATTTTGCTGTATGAAATGGAATTAAAAGAATAAGGTCTAGGATAGCATTTTTGTTATATTTCACCTCCAAAGTAGTTAAAGACCCAGGATAAATCAAAATGTGAACCCACTTGCAATATTGCAAAGTACTGATAATGTTTGAAAGCAAAAGTGTGTCTTTGTCGATTTGAATTGGTCCCTGTATTCCTCTGGAGCATGCCAGTTTGAAAAGGGACAAACCAGAAGTAAGTATAGTTGCACTTGTGTTGCGACAAAAGCCTCCGTAGTTGAGCACATGGCTCGAAAAAATGCCATAATAGTGGAAAGCTGTGATGCTCACGGCAGAGGTCTCCATCCTATAATTTACTGTATCTCCATGGTTACTTGACAGCTTGTAATTTACACAGTAAGACCTGCCGTCCGCCAGGTTCATTTACCCAATTCTGAATTCTGCAGAGCTGGCAACACATTTCAGTTAAACTTTCAGCGGGGTGAAGGTAGGTGTACCCCTCTTGACTCGGGCAAGCAGCGGGTACAAGGAGGGGTACACGTTGGACGGGACGCCAGTCCACCGTAGGGCACACACTAACAGCAAAGGTCAGTTTTCCCAGAAGCCGGTTAACCTACCGCTGACTGATTTTAAAAAAATAATAAATAATGTAGGATTTTGGGGTGTTATTTTTTCAAAAGAGTTTAGTTTTGTCTACTGTTAGGACTTGGTGAGGATTAGGTTAATCAAATATGTCTAAATCTGTTACATTATAAAATCTGAAGGGGGTGTTACTTTTTCACCACACTGTATACATGTAAAAGAGTTTTAATGGACCTGGGCGGATGTGGTTTATATAAATTACTAGAATGCCCTTAGAAAAATGCAAGTCTTGTATATATGTGTCAGGTAATGACAGCTCCAGATTTCTGCAGGAGCTGTCTCGTTTTTTTCGGTGCCAAAAGAGTTTTTAAGAGAGTGAGTGTTCCCCCATCCTGAATTATTTACATCTTCTCAACGAAAAAAAAATGAAGAGTTTTAAGATAAGCAAGAAAGTTTAGGATAAGCTTGTTTTTTAGTTCCCATTCATGCAGTTCTCCTCAGTGCTCATTGCGAAGAGGCCGCTGGATACATCTGGTGTTCCTTCTGCCCTTTTAGGATTTGTGTTGTTTGAATGGGTCATGGGCCTAACTGTGCTGGACTTATTCTAGGCACTCTGTGTGTCTTCATGGTTGACGATGGTTCTATTGGCGTGACGCTTCCAGCTTGTTGACGCCGGCCCTCTGCCACGCGAGACCTTCGCGCCAGCAAACGCCCCCTCGCCGTGCAGGATGTGCCATTCCTGTAGCCCGGTCGGTGAGGTCTTCGTCCTTTTCCAGGTGTCGGATTGCTCCGAGTCGGACAGCGCCCCGGGATCCGTGTTGAGCGGCTGGTCTGAGAGCGACGAGGTGGACACGGAGCTCGGCTCGGTCTCGGGGTGCAGGTCCCCAAGCTCCGGTAGGCGTTCCCCTGGCGACAACCGCTTCCCTTCGAGACGATCGCTCGGGTGCATCCCATGATGCACCCGTGTCCTCTGCTGTCCTCCAGGCCATGTGAGGCAGCCTCTCAGAAACAGGGTTAATATAGGTCTGATTCCTGCCCGCTTTCTCACTGGAGATTATGTTTCAGTTCACATATGAATCAGGCGGATTAAGTCCAATCGACAGGAGAGCTCAAGATGTGTCGGAAAAAGAAGCAAACGGTTCTATCTGATTTGTACAAACGTGCACGGAAATATTCCAGGATTCAGAGGAATCGGTTCTCCTTTTGTCTAGAGAGTAGAAAGTTTTCTGCGGATGTCTTTTTCTTTTCTCTTGAAGGGTAGGTGGGTCGTTTGCACACGTTTGTATAAACACACTGGATCCGTGCTTGCTTGCATTTGGTGTAGGGTTGACCTGTTGAAAGTTTTTTCAAAGCTCTCAGTTTCAGAGATCTGGAACAGGAGTCTAAAGTCCTCAGTCATAGTGAGCCCCAAACCAGTTATTCTTATGGTTCAACCTGTAATATCTTTTGAAGAGGAGGGACACTTGTTTAAGCAATTAAACAGGGCAAGTCATTTTTTTCTGGAAGTGAATTGAGGTCTACCAGTAATCTCTAAAGTCCTAAATTGAACACACCAGCTATTTACATTTTTTCCAGGCCTTCAAAAAAACTGATGGTTTAATGTCTGCCCATAAATACTGCTTACCTGGTGCTCTCCAGGACCAGGATTGGCAACCCCCGATCTAGAGTCTCTGTTCAATATCCCTCGGATTGTTCTGATTCATGATGGATTCACAGGCCTGAAATTGAATGTGGTTCAAAAGTGTGTTTCTTCTTTTGAGCTACGCGCTCTGAAGAGGTACCTAGTTATTACCTGTTGCTTAACCATGTCCAGAATAGCAGCTCCCTGTACAAGTCTACACATTTCAGCCAGAGCTGCCGATTACTGATCACGGAGCGCCGCACTCAGCTCGATATCTAGATTTTCTAGGTCCATATGAATTGTTTAAAGCCTTAAGAACTAATTTAAGTTGTGAAATTGTCCACGTAAGTTAAGTTAGCAACGGTTATGTTATGTGACGGGTTTTCACGCAGATGAGCTGTCCTTTCCACTCACCTGCCACTAGAGGCCGCTAAAGAGAACCTCGAGCCCATGTAATTGGTTCATTTGAGTCTCGTCTCACTTTAGAGCCGTTTTATTATATTGTTTGCAATGGATATAATTGGGTAGAGTGCTCATCATTTTCGCAGGGGCTGAACTGGTGGGGTTTGTTTGTGTATAAAAGGGTGTGTCGGTAGAGCTCCAAACTCCGGTGAAAATGTGGTGAAATGAAAACCGACACGCACTGCCCACCCGGAACCAGAACGTCTCCCCGGTCTCATCCAAACCCCGTTTGTGTGGGTGTGCAAGTGCGTGTTTTTTTTTTTTTCCCCCACATCTGCTTTCGGCCAACCGTTTTGCGCGGTGCCCGGCGCCGTCTCGGCGCGGGTAGCTGAGTGCGGTGCGCTTGTGTGTTCCAGCGGTGTCCAGCGACGTGGCCTCGGTGTGCTCGGGCTCCCTGGACGGAGGGCAGTACAGGTCGAAGGCCCGGCGCTGCGGGATGCTGATGAGCCTGCCCATGACGCTGGCCTTCTGCCACCTGTCCCTGCTGTGGCTGAGGGAGCCGCTGGCGCTGGCCGACCTCCTCAGGTCAGACCGCCCCCGGGCGCGCTCTTCTGGGGGGGGCAAAGGGTCCGCTCTCAGCCCGTTACCGGGGGCAGATAGTAATGTCGGCAGAGAGAGACAGGAAGGCAGATGTGTCAAAAATACTGCCGGGTCATGCCCTGCCTGCATACGCGAAGGCGACAGCTGGTACACCTTCAGAACATCCTACTGCAGGGCTGCAAGGAGTCACGGCGCAAGTTGACTGAAGGTTTGAGACGAGTTAATGTGTGACAAAAAAAAACATGCCATTTCTGGAGAACACTGGAAGACGACGCACAAGGTTCACCTCCTCACAGTGGCCTGAATGGAGCGCATTGTGAACAGACCACCTGCTGTAGTAGACCTTTCAGCAATAAGGGGGCTGAGGTAACATCATGAGGAACAACCATAAAGGAAAACGTTTTCTCTGATTCCAATACATTAGTGATGGTCGCTTATAAATGTACCTGGATTATAGACCTCTCTAACACTGCTGGAATTCAGGACACTGCGGGGGGTGCACCTTGTGTGTCATTTTCCAGGATCCCCCAGAGATAGCATTGATTGTCACTAATTAAACCTTCACTCAACTGCACCGTGACTTCTTGTTTCAGCGCAGTAGCATCATGCAGAGATGGGCATCAAGGGTGTGTGTGTCACTTAATCTCACCCAACAGCTGCGTTTTAAACGCGTACAAACACTGCAGAGTTTTGTGATGACCATCTTCTGGAAAGTCTTTAATTCTGAAAAAACGATGCATGTTGCGCAAGGGTAATTACATTTCTGTTGAGGGTCCATTGTCGTTATTGTTAAACTCCTCTGATTTAGTGTAAACTAATGTTGTTAATTAAGCAGATGCTGCACCGCAGTGTAGATTCAAGGGCTGTCTTCCAGGACAGTTGTGCTTCTGTCTTCGTTACTGTTTTCTTATTTATCTTGTTTTGGGTTAGTTTAGGGGTGTAAGAAACAATACCTTCGATTTGGGTTTTTTAAAAAAAAACAAGACTTTTCATCCACCTCTTCCTAAACATTAATTTGCTTTAGAAAAAACCTTTCTAATATGTGCTTACTGCAACTTCAGCTCCACACATGGTAAATCGTTCATCGTTCTTGATGTCTCCCTTGCATTTCTGTGGCTCCACCGCTAAAATCTTTCTGATTGCTTTCAGAAAGGAGGTGCACTTCAGCTTTTGAAAGTAACACTGCTGTGCTCTGCAGGTTTGTGGCAGCGGGACTCATTCCATACGTGAATGTCTATCAGATCCTCCCCGAAGAGATGAGACTGTTCGGCCAGGACCTGCATATATTTCGGACGGAGGTAGGAATACTTGAGGCCGGCTCAGATAAGCCAAACGTTGGTGCCCGAGAGCTTTCGGTGGCTTTGTTGAAACGTCAAGGAGGTGATGAATTAAGCCCACAGGTTCTCGAGCTCTCAGGCTGTTCATTGTGCTGCTTTCTTGGCTTGTGGTCAATTACAAACCACACTGTGGTTTTGGGTTACCCAACCCAAAGTGTCTGAGCAGCGGTTAATCAGCAGGGCTTAAACGAGTGTACAGCATGCTTACCCCTTTGTTGCTAGCCTTAACAAGATTAGCAGCCCTTCGCTTTGATTCTGCTACGCTAATGGGAGCCACACCATCCTGTGTTTTTCCCATTGGCTGTCTCCAGCGAGTGACAGGCCTCTCATAGGTTTCACAGTGTAGAAACATCTTCACCACAGTTTGTGACCTTCCTGCTGGACAACTAGAGCTTGCACTGTGCTGTATGAAGTGTTATGTCATTATTAAGTCATAATTGCTCATTGTAAACAAGCTCCGCATTATGCTTTTGGCCACAGATTCACATAGGCCTTGCTTGACTAATTCTGCTTATTTTTTGCTCTTGTCTGAGTCCCTTGCGGTTTTTGTTGTAGATTTACATGCGAGCCAGCCCTGGTCAGCAGTGAAGTGTTTCAGGGACAAGACATTTTTGGTTTTCTCACAAAAATTTAAATGTTCGGGAGCTCTGATTTTCTTTACACCTTGCTAAGATTGAAAATATTTTCAGTGTTGGGCTTTACATTTATTGAATGTGCATTTTTTCCAAAGTTATGTAAAGCTAAGCATCTTCAGTACCTTATAGGAACACAGTGGTGAGCAAGAGGATGTTAATTCATTTCTGTCCCTTTCTTTGCTCGGTCATTGTTTTTGGTATTCATCCCTGGCTTCAGTGATTTTTTGTAAACTTTTTTTTTTGCTTGGGTCTCTGCTGTTGAAATGTTTAAAAAACGATTCTAACGTGTGGTTGCATCCGTTTCCTGTTTTAAGATGTGAAAACGTATCTTCGGCTAGGAAGCAGAGGTGCGCACTGGCATGGTGCAGTAAGTAGGTTAGACTTTAGGTGCTGCAGTGGGCTCATCTGCCGGCCAACGTTACAGCATTAAGTTGACTATAAGAGAACTTTTAACGGGCACAAAAACCTGGATGCCATTTATCTTCGCGGTTTTGTAAATAAGTTGGCATCCAAGAATGTACGTAATGAAGCAAGGCAGGGGATGTTGGGTGTTTCTCCAAGTAGTTAAGACCACCTGAATGCAGCTGTCCACCTCTGTGGCCGGGTGGGCTGTGCATGGCGATTGTTCACATGCGGTGTGGTCGCGTCCACCTGAGAGCGTGGGCAGCCATGTGCAGCCCACACCTCTCCTCCACCTGACTGTAGCAGATGTGTTGCTCCCAAACACTCAGAAGATAACCAGACTTATTCCAGGCTGGAAGGGAATGTTGCTTTTGGACGGACTCCGCTGATAAAGATTCACGGGGTGGGGGGGGGCTTGCTTTAGGTCTTCGGATTAATTCAGAATGGAAGGTATGGACCAGGCCGACTGGGGGAACTTCTCCAAGATCAGGCCCCTCCCAGGGGCCAAAATGGAAATGATGTTTGGGGCCACTTGAGACGCTCATTTACACAGAGGGTTGTGGGAGTTTTGGAACCACCTTAAGGGGCCCTGTAGTTGGATCTCCAGTTGAGGTCCTGTAAGAATGGAATTGATGGATCGCTTAGAACTTCAGGTTGCTAGAGACCAAGCGTGAAGGGGGTGTTGAAAAGCCCAGTCTTGTTTGTAACCCTCATCCCGCCCTTCGGATGAAATGTAAAACCGAGGTCCTGGCTCTCTGTGGTCATTAAAAATCCCAGGGCGTTTTTCTTGAAAAGAGTACGGGTGTGACCCCCGTGTCCTGGCCAACTTTCCCCCTGG